ATTTGCACACAGTAGTGATTTATTAACAGAACAGATGTTTAATCAATGACACATCAACAAATAAAGAAAATACATATTAATGGGTTTTAACACAACATACAGCAAACTGAGGTCCAGGATAATGGTGCACCAAACTCTTTTTAATATCTCTAATACAACTGTGTTCTTAGCAAAGTTCTCAGCAAACCCTAGAAAGCCATGGTTTTTAGTAGTAGTTTTTAATTTTTTTTTATAAATCATTACTTTAAATATGCAAAGAGAATAAAGCATCGTGCAAACACTTTTCCTCATTTTATGAATCTAGAATTTTTTAAACAATGGATTTTCACTCTTTATTATGAGATTCATGATAAACGTATAATAAATGTCATGTGACCTCCCTTTGCTAAGTTTATATATAGTGCAGAGTTTAACCAAGATGCTCTTCTTTAAATTTACAGTAAAGTAAGAGAAATTACTTTTCTCCTATAAGTTCTGTTCATATATGATGACTTGGAACAACAGTGAAATAAAGCAAAGGTGTTAATAATCAAGGAGTTATATAACATCCAAGTGTAAACATGTGCATGTTTTCTTCACATCAAAAAACACCTTTGGAAGGAAAAAAAATCATGAGATATATTTGTTTAAGTCTGCAGCTGTATCTTTGAAGATAGATACTGATTAAAAGAATATCTATAAAAAAAAAAAAAAAAAAAAAAAAAAAAAAAAAGAAGCTGAATATGCTATTCCAGTATTGGAGCAGCAGGCATTATAGTAGCAGCAGAACATTTCTTGGAAATCCTTCCAAGTAATACCCAATCAAAATACTCTAAATCTGTATAAATTCAACATGAGGCAATCACTGTTATGATGTGGCTTTTCTAACTTAATTAGCATTTCATGTCTTATTTCATCCATGTTCTACAAATAATTATATATTTAAAAAAAAGATTGAAGAAGGAAAAAGCTATTACCTTTACTTTTCATGTACAGAAATAGTAGGCCTTGTCACAGAGAGGAAGTAGAGGCATGAGGATTGCAAAAATAAAGGTGATACTATTAGGAAAAAACACTTCAGGAAACAGGAAAAGGTGTTGAAGTCTGTAAGGTATATGGCCTTTTGTAAGCTGGCTACATTTTTAATACTACAGTCTATACAGCTGAGTTTTATTTGAAGCCCCATATACCCCTTAAACAAACAAACTGTGGAGAGCATGTTAAAGTTTTTATGACTCTTTGTCATATCGCCTCTGCTGAAAATCACACAAATAAGTTTTGTTATAGACGAGGAGAGATAGTGAGTTAGGCGGGGAATCTGGACTGTTGATTATATTTATACAGCAATACATATGAAGATAAAAATGTAATCAACAAAGCCTACATAGGAGCATAGAGTCAACATATTTAGTAACTGATAATCAGATGTTTATTTAATGTCAATCAGGAGGTTTCAAGCTCATTAACAATGGATCTGTGGTGACATTAAAAGGTTGTTCATGTCTTTTCTGCTTTAGCTCATCTACAACTCATAGCTAGTGAGAAAGGATCTATCACTCATAATTATGAGGATGCAAATTCCTGCATAGAGAATTCACTTGATTTATTGTATGAACGGCTCAGAATTCACAGGAAGAAGGTTTTTCTGCTTTTGGTACTTCATGCTTTTATTTTAATGTTTGAAACGATCTGTTTTTTCTTTTTATCAGTTTTAAAATTATATTTAATTTCAATTCAATTTGCCCTTTATCAATTTATCCAGTACTAATAAACACTTCTTAATTTTTCTATGATTTCTGGGTTTATCTTTTTTTCATAAAGTATTGTGTTTTTTTCCAACCCTTACTGAGTAGTGTCCTCTAACCTCTCTATAAAGACAGTTTGCTTTACCAAAAGCGAATATGATTCTCCTTTCTGTGCGAATGGGTCCCATTCTGACTGACACAGATGCCCTTTTCTTTTATCCTAACATATCACTCTAATGCAACACACTACTTTAATCGGATGTGTTTTGTTGATTAAAAAATTCAAAGCTTTACTGTTGTCTTTGCCATAGATCAAAATGCAGATGTCATCACTGTTCACATAGCAACACTAAACAGTTGAGCTGCCTTGAGCTCCTGCCATCTGCGCCCCAACAGTGAGCTCTCTTTCCAAGTCACTTAGATCTTCCCCTTTTGCTGTGATACACAAATCTGCATCCACCCAGACCGCTTGGATTTTTCTGTGCATGTATGCTGCTGAGCTTTGCTAGAAGTAAACTACTTCATTGTATCAGGCAATGCACCTGTGTGGTAGCATCTGCTGTTGTGGTTTCACACTTGTTTACTCATGATTTTAGGGAAGTTGTGCCACCTATCTGGGTAAAGTGCAAGCATAGAGAAAGAAAAATATCAATAAGAGGTTCTAATATGTCTGTTTAGTGCCATCATCCCTAGAGCAGGCCAGACAATGAGACCAATAGTAAATAAAAAACATGAGACCTTATGCTACTATTTGGTGGGGGGGTGTTTATGGTAAACATCTCCTGTTGTTGGAATATGCATCCTTCTGTCCATCCTCTCTACCTACTTGTTTGGCTTGGGGGTTGGTCCCTTTCTCTAGCCTATTGAGAATGAAAAAGGCTCCATGAGGAATATCCATCAAAATGTGATTTCAGTTATCCCCCATTTTGACCTTCTTCATGATTTTTTTTCTTCATTAAATTAAATGACATATGTTCTGTTTAAAACCGGCTAGCCATGGTGGACATAAGTATCTTTAGAAATTTTAATTAGGGACACACCTATCCATGTTATTCTTTCTTTCAATCCAGTCCCAATATTTCCATTTGGGTATCTGTCAGTACTGATACTATTCTGATACCAGGACTCTATTTAGTTTTTACTTAATTACTACCATGACTGTAATGGTGATAATCTCCTCTCTACAGGCCAATGTATATGTACAGTAAATAGAAATGTTTTCATTTATTTTCCAAAAAGCAACCTGATGTATTAGATCAGAAAACTAAATAAGAAAAACAGGTAATCCTGTCAACGTGCAAAATCCCACCATTAAAATAAACATGTAACTGCAAAGGTTAAAACTCTCAATATTTATTAAATCCAAGATAGATGCCAATGAAAGGTAAAGTTCTGTAACTGTATGTTCTTGTTCGTCTGGCATTGAAAAATCAAGGTTTTTGAATGTCAAAATGGGGGGTTCTCCAAGTAAGGCTCCAAAATCCACAACTGATAATGATTGATCCTTGAGTATGATAAGTTTCAGAAACTCCTCAGTTACCCCTTCAGCTTTAATTTAGTCTGCTAGACATTTATCTTGTCTTTCAGAGATGTGTCCCAGTAGATCTATTCTGCCCCTCATGAGACTTACTTTCACACAGGAACTCTGTTTAACATTTTGAAGCCAGATTAGCCAGAAGGGAGCCATTTGTCTAGTCAATTCCTCAGACATCACAATAGTACAGACATGTCTCATGGTTTCAGAAACTATAATGGATGCTGGATCACATTGGCCATCCCTAAACAAAATTCTTTTTTAACCAATCTCAGTGTTTATATGTATTTAAAGGAAAATACAAACTTAAAGGAAATACAAACTTCTGCTTTTAATGCCTCCCCACAAGATAACTACCACTATTATAAAAGTCTTTTAAACGTGCAACAAATTTCAATGTTTACGTTCAAAGATTGTTGTTTATTCACAGTTTTTTAATTTGAACATTGCAGACACTGTGCTGTTTTGGCCATTTGTAGTTATCTTGCCAATCCTTGCAGGTTTTATTTACCAAAAATATTTTGAAACATTTTGTTAAAACATCTAGTTTCATAGATTAAACGCAATCAAACTGTCAACGAATTATGTTGTCAAATAACAGGTAGTAATTCTATGATAACAGTCTTAGCCCTGTTTTGTCTCTTGGAGACCAAAATCATTGCAGTTCATTTTAAAAATGTATTCTACCAACAAAACTCACACAGCTTGGGATGCAGTTGTGTTTTTTTTTTTTTAACCTGCTATGAAACAAGTGAAAATGAATCTTAGATCAGTGCTTTATCAGTATGCTACCACATAAGCTATCCTACAGGTACTGTAGAGGACCAGGAAACATAATCTACATTGGTGGCCCAGTTTTCAGAATCGTTGGATATTTTATGTCCTTTCTATGTTTGAAACAGGTAAATGAACCTATCCATCAGGTCCTATGATAAGTCCTCTTTCCCCATCGGCCAGAATCCAGTAATTCCAGTGCAGCACTGGCTGATATATTCAATTCAATTCAATTCAATTCAATTCAGTTTATTTATATAGCGCCAAATTCACAACACATGTCATCTCAAGGCACTTTACAGTTCAACCAGATCATACAGTCAAATTGATACAAAGTTTTCTATCTAAGGAAAACCAGTTGATTGCATTGACTCATTGACTCAAATACAATCCCCCACACTAAGCATGCTTGTAGCGACAGTGGAGAGGAAAAACTCCCTTTTAACAGGAAGAAACCTCCAGCAGAACCAGGCTCAGTGTGAGCGGCCATCTGCCGAGGCCGACTGGGGTTCAAGGAGACAGAAGCAGAGATACAAAAAGCAGGTGTAAAAGGCGGCCCCGTCCAGGAAACACACAGCCAGGCAGACGAGCTCCAAGGCAGCTCCCATGCCAGAGGACGAAGAGAGCACATCCACTCAGTCACGGTCAGAGAAACAGGACCACACTGGAAAACAGGCCGATCTCCAACATCTATTAACAAGGGTGTTGATAGAAGCAGCACAGCTGATGTTTTTTTCCAGGATGACGTCACAGCCAAACAGGAACAGACGAGGCAAAGCTACTCTGAGGAAAAGCAGAGAGAGCAGAAGGTTAGAGATTGAACTAACAGATTCTGCAGAATAGGAGAACAGAGAGAGAATGAAGCAGAATGATGAAATGGGGGTCCCTATGTCCTCCAAAAGTCTAAGCCTATAGCAGCATAACTATAGAGATAGCTCAGGATAACCTGAGCCACCCTAACTATAAGCTTTATCAAAAATGAAAGTTTTAAGCCTAGCCTTAAAAGTAGACAGGGTGTCTGCCTCACGGACTAAAACTGGTAGTTGGTTCCACAGGAGAGGAGCCTGATAACTAAAAGATCTGCCTCCCATTCTACTTTTAAAAAAATTCTAGGAACCACTAGTAAACCTGCAGATTGAGAGCGAAGTGCTCTGTTAGGAACATAAGGAACAATCAGATCTCTGATATAAGATGGAGCTTGGCCATTTAAGGCTTTATATGTGAGAAGGAGGATTTTAAATTCTATTCTTGATTTAACAGGAAGCCAATGAAGAGAAGCCAGGATAGGAGAGATATGATCTCTCTTTTTCATTTTCATTAGAACTCTGGCTGCAGCATTTTGGATCAGCTGAAGGCTTTTAACTACAGTTTGTGGACTTCCTGATAGTAAAGAATTACAATAGTCCAGCCTTGAAGTAACAAATGCATGGACTAGTTTCTCAGCATCACCCCTGGACAGGATATTTCTAATTTTTGCAATGTTCCTCAGATGAAAGAAGGAAATTCTAGAAACCTCTTTGATATGGGATTTAAATGACAGGTCCTGATCAAAAATAACACCAAGATTTTTTACTTTATTATCTGAAATCAGTTTAATCCCATCCAAATGAAGTGACTGGCTAATCAGTTTCTTTTTCAGAGACTCTGGTCCAAAGACTATAACTTCTGTTTTGTCTGCATTCAGAAGCAGAAAGTTAAGAGTCATCCAGGTTTTTATGTCTTCAAGACATGCCTGTAATCTATGTAATGGGTTAGCTTCATCTGGATTTATAGACAGATATAGCTGGGTATCATCAGCATAACAGTGGAAATTAATCCCATGCTGTCTAATAATTCTACCAATTGGGAGCATGTATAAAGTAAAGAGAATTGGTCCTAGCACTGATCCCTGTGGTACTCCACAGGTAACCTTTCCATGAGAATATCATTAGTGACTTTCACCAGAGCTGTTTCAGTGCTATGATGAGCTCTAAAGCCAGACTGAAACTCTTCAAAAAGTTCATTATGGTGTAAGTGATCGCAAACTTGTTTGGCAACTACTTTCTCAAGAATTTTGGATAAGAAAGGAAGATTGGATATAGGTCTATTATTGACCAAGTCATCTGGGTCAAGAGACGGTTTCTTAAGCAGAGGTTTAATTACAGCAATCTTAAAAGCTTTAGGTACATATCCCTGTAACAGAGATAGATTAATCACATCTAAAATGGAGGAGGAGATCAAAGGGAATACCTCCTTAAATAACCTGGTTGGAACTGGATCTAACATACAAGTTGAAGGCTTAGATGAAGACAATAATTTTGCTAATTCAGAGAGTTCAACTGGATCAAAGCAGTCTAAACCCGGTTCAGATTCCATGACTACCTCAGGTACAATCGCGGATAGAGGAGTGCTTATGATCTTATTTTTAATAAGATCAATCTTATTTATAAAGAATCCCATAAAATCATTGCTGCTAAGAGCAGGTGGAATGGACGGTTCAACAGAGCTATGGCTCTGGGTGAGTTTGGCAACTGTATTAAAAAGAAATCTTGGATTATTCTTATTCTCCTCTATTAATGAGGAGAAGTATGCTGCTCTTGCTTTACAAAGGGTCCTCTTATACAGCAGTAAACCATTTTTCCAGACTAGGAAGGACTCTCGCAGGCCTGTGGAGCGATATTTTCTCTCCAGTTTCCTAGCATTTTGCTTCAAAGTACGCAGCTCTGCATTAAACCAAGGAGCAAGCTTTCTATTTTTAACGGTTTTCATTTTCAAAGGAGCTGCGTTGTCTAAGGCAATACGCAGAGAACTAGCAACCCCATCAACAAAATCATCAACCTGTGAAGGGGAATAAGCTAAGCTTTTGCACTCTGCAGCACTGCTCAGTGACACAGAGGAGAGAGAAAGTGAAGCAGATTCTTTAAAATTTATAACTGCACTATCTGATAAAGATCTACTAAAATTGAACCTTCTTTTGGGGGAGGAGAACTCTGTTAAAGTAATCCTGAAGGTTATTAGAAAGTGGTCAGAGAGGACAGGGTTGTGAGGAAATACTGTTATTTCTTCACATTCTATGCCATATGTCAGCACAAGATCCAAAGTATGAAGATGAGAATGCGTGGGACTATTCACATTTTGAACAAAGCCAATAGTGTCTAAGATAGCATTAAAGGCTGCTCTTAAGCTATCGCCTTCAATGTCAGCATGGATGTTAAAATCTCCCACTATGATGACCCTGTCAGTATTTAATACCAAATCAGAAAGGAACTCTGAAAACTCATCTAAAAATTCAGAGTAAGGACCTGGTGGACGATACAAAGTTACAAAAAGAAGAGGTTTTCTTGCCTTGAAATTTGGATCAGGGAAATTAAGGGTTAAATGTTCAAAAGAGTTGTAGGTATTAATTGTTTTGGGAGTAATCAGTAAGTCAGACTGGAAGATTGTTGCTACTCCTCCTCCTCGCCCAGAACTTCTGGGGATGTGAAAATTTAAATAGCTTGAAGGAGTTGCCTCATTTATGCTCACATAATCCTCTTGCTGCAGCCAGGTTTCTGTAAGGCAAAACAAGTCAATGTGATTATCACAAATCAAGTCATTAACTAGTAGACTTTTAGAGGAAAGCGATCTTATGTTAAACAGACCGCATTTAATTGTTTTAACTTTTTCCCCAATTGGAGTTATTTTGATTTTAATTAGATTATCATGATTTACTCCTTTGGGAATCTTTGCTAATTTATTAGATTTTGGTCGTGGGCAAGACACTGTCTGGATGGAGTAAAGAGTGGGTAACAGTAGAGAAGCTGCAGAGATGTGTGTTAAACTACAACTCTGCTTCCTGGTCTGCACCCTGGGTGGTTAGGGTTTTGGAGGACTAATAAATGTGGCCAGATTCCTAGAAAGAAGAGCTGCACCATCCAAAGTGGGATGGATGCCGTCTCTCCGAATCAGACCAGGCTTTCCCCAAAAGGATTGCCAATTATTAATGTAGCCCACGTTGTTTTCAGGGCACCACCTAGACAACCAGCGGTTGAATGACGACATGCGGCTAAACATGTCATCACTGGTCAGATCAGGGAGGGGACCAGAGAAAATTACGGAGTCCGACATTTTTTTGGCAAACTTACACACCGAAGCAACACTAATTTTAGTGACCTCCGATCGGCGTAACCGGGTGTCATTACCACCAGCGTGAATAACAATCTTACTGTATTTAACCTTATCCTTAGCCAGTAGTTTCAGGTAGGATTTGATGTCGCCCGTTCTGGCCCCCGGCAAACATTTGACTATGGTCCCTGGTGTCTCTAATGCCACGTTTCTGACTATGGAGCTGCCAATCACCAGAGTGGGCTTCTCAGTGGGTGTGTCACTGAGTGGGGAAAACCGGTTAGAAACGTGAACGGGTTGGTGGTGACCAGTGGGCAGAGATCCACGACTACGCTTTCTGCGTACAGTTACCCAATCGCCTGGCTGCTCAGGCACTTTTGGAGAACAGCTACGTGGGGGGCCTACTTCAACAGCCTGAAGCCTGGATTCTAACTCTGACACCCTCGCCTCCAAAGCTACAAAAATACTACACTTATTACACATCCCATTAGCACTAAAGGAGGCAGAGGAATAACTGAACATCTGACACAGAGAGCAGGAGAGAGGAGAGGAAGAAGGAAGAGTTGGAAAAGAGTCAAGGGAGGGAGAGAGAGAAGCCATAGCAATGCTAAGCTAGCGCTAGCCTAGGCTAGCTACTTCTTGCTATCAGAAATAAAACCGTGTGAAACTGACAAGTGCTCAGTAGAAAAGTGCAGCAGAAGGTGCTATGTTTTAAAGTAGTCAGTTAGAGTTACTTAGATACAGAGATATCACAGAGAAAATAACTTAACTTCAGATGGAGATCCTCTGAACAGCTGCACACTCAGTTGCACACTCAGTTAATCCAAACAGGAAGTGAACAGGTCCAAACAGGATATGTCAAGAGCCTCTAATCTTATTGACTTTTGAGACATAGACAAACAAGCTACAGGCAAAGAGCTGCCAGCTGATGGGGTCTACCCCAAGTGACCGTTAAAATCAATGTGCATTTCCATGAATACATGTTATAAAACTTCGGTGCTCAAGCCAAAACTATTAGGAACTTTTAATTAGAGCTATTTTGGAACAATAAAATTATAACATAAAATGAAGGCAATTATTTGATAGCTAGACTATGTGAAAGTAAACAAACGTAGTATCCACTGTGAGCTAAGTAATTAAAACAGGAGTTAACTGTTATTATAACTCTCCTGCGTTACACTAACACACAGCCTACTGTGTATATAGTACATAGCTATATACTATATATAGTATATTGTATGTTTTATATTGTATATAAGTTATATAATATAACTATAGATGCTGTATTCTGTATTTAAATCTAATTTGCCTGCACCACCAACGACAAGTCAAATTCCTTGTAAGTGCAAACATACTCGGCAATAAACTTGATTCCGATTCTGACAACTTAATTTCACCTCTGTAAATTTTGTTATTTCATTTTGTGTGACATTTAGCAAAGATTGATTATATCTGACAGATTTTTATTTGCTACTGATAATGAAATCCAAAGTTCTGACAATCTGTGGTCTGTGAAAGATGAATCCGGTTTAGTCTCTTCTTCAACCTAACAAAGTGGGTCAACCCTTATGACCCAGTGTTTAACAGGAGAAGAGCTCTACTCGTAGGTTAAAGATATCACCCAAAACTGCTATACCTCTGTATCCTTACAGACCAAGTAACAGTTTAGCTCACTGACCTTATAATAAAACATGTTTGTCACCGAGAAGCAAGTTGTCCAAATCCTCCTGCCTTTGTGTTTATTAGATGTTTTTTTTTTTTTTTTGCTCCCTTAGACCTCTCCCTCTCAGTGAATCAATTGATAAAATCCGGTGTCTAAATTTCTCCCCTTTTCTTGTTGTTTCAGTTGTTTTGTTGTGGCTCAGACTCATTGTTTGCTTCCATCACTTCATTGGCTGACTCTCTGATAGTCTGTCTCCCACAATGTTTCACATTGTTATTTCTTTCATACCGCCAGTGGCTCTCTCACTCTCCCTGCAGACAAAATAAAATGAAAAAAACTCAAAGACTTGTTTCATAATCAAATGAAATAGCAGGAGATGGAGAGGAATATACTGACCTAGGCATATGAAAAAAATAGAATTGCTAAGAGCCATAATGGTTAATGTTTGTTATTTGGTGCATTATCAGTTTAGTTTGTCCATCTCATTCGGGCAAAATGAAGGAGACCAACTCAGCAAATTGGTCCATCAGTGAAGCCGTGCTCTGGTGTAGATCACCATCTCTGTTTCAAATCATGACAAATGAGCTGCTGGAAGCTGAATGCATTTAAGACACCCACATTCCCCAGCCAACTGCATCTGGAGAAGGAAGTCGTTCACAGTGGTAGAAGCTAGAGGGAGCTGTGGGTGTTTAGCTATCGAAGGCAGACTCTTTCTCTCCTTCAGGCAACACACAAACACACTCGCACACCCACGCATGGACGCAAACACACAAACGCACAGGTGAGTTATTAATATCTCATGAGCAGCTTGCAGATTGGAATCAGTCCAGGCTTCTCTGACGTGTAAAATGCAGCGTCTGTACTCAGTTGTTGGGACGCAGGAACAGAGGAAAACAGGAAGCTTTAATGTGCTCCCTTCAGCTGTACCAGACCAATGGAATGAGACATTATACCTACAGCCTAAAGCAGGGAGTTGCTCACTCATGAGTACATGTATTAAGGTTGTACGCATGAGGCCACTTTGCCCTGAGGTAGAGAAGGAACTCTGAACCACTCCCTGTCTCAGAAGCTGACTGACAGTTCGACTTAGTTCAGGAGTTATGCATTTTGATTTCACGCCCATGTGGAGTTTGAGTCTGGAGACAAATCAATTCATGGCAGAGTACATTTACATTGCATTATCTAAAGCAGAAACTTTAGAGTTCAAAGCCACCCCTTTTATCTTCGATTTTCCAGAAGCCGGCTATTCAGTAGGTACCACAGATGTAGAGATGGTCCATTTAGACAAGATGTTGTATTTTTGTTATCTCTTGCTGCAATGCTCAGATAAATCTAAAATTCAGATCTATTCTGCAGGTTTCCATCTGTACACTGGGAGGTAGAGTAGTTATTTAGTGTGTGTCGAATCTGATAGAGCTCGACTCAATCCATTTCCCGCCTCTGCCACCACAAGGACGAAATAGAAGAAAGCTCTTTGAAAAATATATGCTCCCCAAGGGTTTGCTGTAAAGGTTTCTTGCATCCAGATCGAAATAAAGGACAGTAAACAGCCACGAGGCCTTGACCACTGTCCTGAAGGTCTACGCCTACTCACTATCATTGCTGATGGAAAACATGGAATGCTCCCAGTTATTTCACAGTGGGAAAAATGATTGCTTTTAGACACTTCTCTATGTTTTTAGGAGGAATTAATCATTGTTTTACCTTGAGTTACAGAACTGTCAGACTAAGTCCATGCTTTTGTATTTACATTTTATTTTAACATAGGAGAGATATATTGTGCAGTGAAAATATAGTAGATAAGTGCAATAAAAAGGTAAAATATCCCTAGTTGACCCTGATTCCAGTTAACAACTTGGCTGTGATGTATAAAGCAGTTGTGCTTGAAAGTTTACATACACCCCCATTAAAGGGGTCATAGAATGCAAAACAGAGTTTACATTGTCATAGATGATTAACGATACTTTACTATTGTCGACTGCAGTGAACTATTATTGCACTGTAGTTGACCAAAATCCCTGGGGCGATTTTTAAATTACCCGGACATTTTTTTTAGGTATGAAAAGAGGGACATGTCCGGGAAAAAGGGGATGTCTGGTCATCCTACCATATCAATAATTTGATGTTTCAGTGAGTGAGTGCTTGTTGCTATAATGCATCTTTGCTCAGCAGCTTCGCTCATTGTAAACCAACCAATCAGCGCACAGTTCATCTAAATATTCATATATTCAATATTCATAAGTGTACCATAAAAGGAAGAGGCTTGCATTAAGGCTCATAGAACAGCAAATTTGCCATTTTCAGCCCAACCAGTGTTACACACCCTATTCAGAGACCTTAAGGACCAGCACCAAATACCCTATAGAATCATTCTATGAGCCCTATAAAGAAAAAGATATATTCACAGAATCACACTTTACTTTAATTTTGCTAAATGATTATTTAGTAAAATAATTTAATGGTTATGGATTTTTGATTTTTTTACTGATCATTTTGTGAACATTACTGTCAGACAGTGGTATATTCAAAAAAAGAGTTTATCAATGAAGCATGCGGCTGCTCGTCTTCTGCGGCGGGCTTAACAGAAACTCTGCAGGATTAGAGGCTCAGGTCAGTTACTTGAAAGCTCAGATGTTGGATATTAATGAGTAGTGTTGCATTGATGCCATTTTTTGGCCCCAATACTGATACTCGATACCTGGCTGTGCAGTATTGGCCGATACCAATACCATCTGTTTAAAATTGGTGTGTGTGTATATGAAGATCTGCATACCACTTGGATGTAAAATAATTGCCATCATGGCTTTGTCAAGCTGCTGCCTACCTTTGCGAAGCAGGAAAAAGACTAATACAAAATGAATCCAGTAGAACATTTTATTGTCTACCTAGAATAGGGGACAATAGTTCAATAAACTTTTTGTTCTCAAAATGGTACCATGCCCCATTTGTCAGTACCCACCGATACCACCATTTTAGTGCAGTATCAGGGCGCCGTCCGATTACTGGTATTGGTGCAACACTAATAATGAGTATGAAAGCCACCAACCTGGCAAAGTTC